CAAACCTATGGCACGCGTGCCACAGGTGGTACGCAGAGCCATTTGTGTCGTCACGTGAGCTGCAGGCAGTCTTACCTCACTGCGCATACGTGCGCCTTATAGCACTTTTTCGGCTGGTTTGAGGCCTTTTTCGGCCTCCCAGAGGCTTGAGGAAGGCTTCTGCAGGCTTTGCAGGCCGAAAACTAGCCCTGCTTCATCACTTCCTGTTTTTCAGAAAATACCGGAAGTGACGAAACGGGCCTAGTTTTCGGCCTGCAAAGCCTGCAGAAGCCTTCCTCAAGCCTCTGGGAGGCCGAAAAAGGCCTCAAACCAGCCGAAAAAGTGCTATAAGGCGCACGTATGCGCAGTGAGGTAAGACTGCCTGCAGCTCACGTGACGACACAAATGGCTCTGCGTACCACCTGTGGCACGCGTGCCATAGGTTTGCATCACAGGACTAGAAGATCTCCAAGATCTCTTACAACTCTGTTATTCTATTATTATTATTATTATCCCCCCCCCCCCCACTTTATGGAACCCCATCAAATTCTCATGGCGTCTTAGGGTTCCACTCAATGTAGTTTGAAAAACTGTTCTAGAACATCCAGTTCTCCCTAATGTTGTGCTTAACACTAGTTCTCCTTCCTAAAGTCCTTTAACTGCTCTAATGCAGGGGTCCCCAACCCTCTGGCCGTGGCCTACTACTAGGCCGCAGCCTGTTTGGAATCAGGCCACGTGAGCGGCTGGCTGGAGCACACGTGTGTGTGAGCACACATGTGTGTTGCACAGCCAGTTCCCCTCTCCCCCCCCCCCCAAGAGCAGGTTGGGGACCGCTGCTCTAATGGAATTCTACCACTACCTTTGGATAAAGGTAAGTCTTGTCTCTAACCTCCTTACCAACATTACTCGACACCTTGGCTTCCCACATCTTTTCTTGAAGGAGATCTGCCTGAGAAACGGCTGCTTTCCGAACTCCCAACTTTTTAGGTCTTCAGACGCAGGAAAACACACTGATAGACGGAGAGGCATGTTGGGTGGTTCGGTCCAAGAAGGGTAGCCTCATGACTCCACACAACCCCGCTTGCAAAAGAGGAGCGAAAAGAGCACTTCTTGTTTTCAGAAATAGCCCGTAGGAGAAGCGATTATCCTTGGTTACAACCTATGAAGGAAGCGCCATCTTGGTCTGGGACAGGATCCGGATCGCCCACGATTTCACCTGGTTGAACTGGTACAAGGAAGACACCGGTCTATCCCTTTGGAATCATCCCATCATGGAGAGATGCCAACACGAGCCCCGTCCGGCAAGCTTTCGTTGCGCTTTCTCTTACGCGAGATCCGTCCACGCTGCCAATCACAGATCTTTTTTTTTGAGGGGGGGGTGGTGTATAACCTTATGAACCAGATCCATCAGACGATGACATTGGTTGCAGGTACCACAGTAGCCTATCCCTTAACCCCTGCAAATTGATAAGCCGTTTGGGACACCCACCTCTCCCACCACCCGTTCCCACCCACCGCCCAATAATGCTGGGTTCCCCCCTCCAGGATGCTTAAAAGAGTCAGGCCTTGGTTATCAAAGGCATCACTCCGGATCACAGAAGGACATCCGTCTTCTATCCGACGATGGGCGCACCTCAAAACGATCTGCCCCCCCCCCCAAGGATCATCGGGTCATCGGATTCCCCTCCCCCCACCCTTCCCCGGCACGGTGATGCGGTGACCCTAAGGCAATGAAAGGAGTCCTGTCTCTGCCCGGCCCATTCACAACGGGCGTTTTTCTCTCTTCCCTGGCATCGGGACGAAGGTGAAAAGGGGGGGAGGAGGGGAACGGCCAGCACAGCAGGATCAGTTGGAGGTGTCAGAGTGGACACTGCCGGGACCTTCTGTTGGGGAGGTGACAGAAGATGGGGTGGCGGCTTCCTGCCAGCCCCCATTGGCCTGTAGTGAAAGAACGAAGAAGGATGGTAAATCTCCCTTCCCTACCCTCAAAACAACACTATAGAGCACTGCACACCAGAACAACTAGACACAAGGACAGTTTTTTTCCCCCGAACACCATCCCTCTGCTAAACAAATAATTCCCTCAACACTGTCCAACTATTTACAAAGTCTGAACTATTATTACTATTAATCCTCCCATCCTTCCTTTCACCCATCCCCTCCCACTTTTCTTTTGTTTGATGACTCTCTGTAGTTTGCCATAGCTGTACTTATTCATTATGAATGTGTTAGTATTGGAGCTGTGTCTTGTTGCTTTTAAACCCTCCCACCCTCCCACTCGTGACTGTATGACTGTAACTTTGTCGATTGTATATTGACTGTTTCCTAGTAGGATCCGATTGCTTATTTGTTCCCTGTGACTATCATTAAGTGTTGTGCCTCATGATTCTTGATGAACGTATCTTTTCTTTTATGTACACGGAGAACGTATGCACCAGTAGTGGTATTCTATAGGTTCAGCCCGGTTCTGGTGTACTGGTAGCACCAAAGATCGTCCGAGACCGAACCGGTTCTCTCTGAGAAGCTACTAGGGCTGCTGTCAGGTCTACTCGGAGGAGTAAGGCCTCCTTAAAAAAACCTTGGTCCAGCTGGCCCGGCTGATAGTACCTCGTAAGGGCCCCTTTCCAGGGTTATAGGAGAAGATGGTCAACAGTTTTGAGGGTGGAAGAGGGCTTTATGCTCCAACGGCAGATAAAACGGTAGAACCATCTTCTAGGAAAAAGGGAAACTCTTTGATTTCAAACCTCCGCTGCCTTGTGGCTCTATCTATTATTGGAAAAGGCTTCCGGCCGGAGTCAACCTCGAAGGAAAATCCGGAGCCAGAGTCCCAGAAGCAGTTTGTGACTGCGTACAATCACGTTCTGGTAAACTCCTGCGACGCAGCTGGACCTAATCGTATCGGCTCTGCCGTTCCATTAGACTGTTCCAGTGATGTGGAGAGTGGAGAATCTGCTGCTTGGGCAACAGTTTATCCTCCACCCAGGCCTCGTGCTCTGGAAAGGATACTCCAGCTTTGCATACAGCAGGGATGGCGAACCTTTTTGTTGTGGTGTGCCGAAAGCTCGTGCATGTGCTGGCACCCACAATGTAATGCACCCCCCACCCACCCCCTGCATATGTGTTAGGAATATGAGTCACCTAACAGGTATTTGGGTTAGAAATATATAAACCAGGATAAACATTTTTGTACTATGTCTTTAAGAGATTGCAAAAACTGCAATTAGGTGTGGTCTCTCAAACGGCCATAAGATGGAGCCAGAAACCTGGTTTGTTTTAGTCTTAGTCTCAGAAGAGAGTGTGTCTGAGTGAGTATCTCTGTTTCCTTCTGTTGGAAAGTATTGCCGTTGCTCCATTTCTTCTAATTGACTGATATTACTGGATTTAATGTAAGTCTGATACTGAACTGTTTTTTGACACTGGACTTTGATATTTGGATTATCCCTGGATTGAAAAACTGACTGATTTACTTGTGAATGACTTTGGACTGCCTATTTTGGACTTTGCTTTAACCTTTCTGGAAGTAAAAACCTACATTTACTGTACAGTGTATCTCAAATGCGTCTCCCTGTATGCGCTCATTCTCCTAACGGGGAATTACCTCAACAATATGCGCACTCAACACCTCTGCCCCGCCCCCTTACCTGCATTGCGCATGCACGCGCCTCCCAGCTGATTTCTGCCCCCCCCCCCGCCCCCCGAGGCTGCAGAGGCTTCCCTTGAGCCTCTGGGAGGCCGAAAACGGCCTCCCCTGAGCTCCAGAGGCTCTCCGGAGGCTGAAAACAGGCACTTCCTTGAGCCTCCAAGAGGGCGAAAACGGCCTCAAACGGGTCGAAAATCAGCTGGGAAGCGCACGCATGCGCAGCGCAGGTAAGTTTGGCTGGGAAATCACGTGCCCGCACAAATGGCTCTGTATGCCACCTGTGGCACGCATGCCATAGGTTCGCCATCGCGGGCATACAGCGTTGAAACAACATGGGAAGTGGCAGTTGCCCGTTTCATAGCATGACACCATAGTCTCGAAACTGAAAGATGCCATTTCAATTCATAGGAGGAGCCAGCTGATGTGCACGCATGCGCACCACCCCACTTGCGCGAACCTCGCAGGCGCTCTCGGCCCCACTCGTGCCAGCATCGTGGCCTAACTCGCGCGAACGTCACGGGCGCTCTCGGCCTAACTTGCGCGAGTATGATGGGTGCTTGGAGCTCCACTTGCACAAGTATTGTGGGCACTCTTAGCCCCACTCGTGCGAGTAATGGGTGCTTGTGTGCACCCAGGCACCTACCCCTCCCACAAAACCATCGCCTCTTTCCGCCTTCCGACCTTTCCGGGCCACCATCCCGGAAAGGTTGGGGAACTCTGTATTACGTAGCACAGCCAAGCAACCAGTTGGAAATGATGCTGCCAGAGGCCCAAGTAAACCAGAAGTTATCCCACTCTTGACCTAAACTCACCCTCATTTCTCGTGGGCTGTACATCTGGTTGGCAGCCATACTGTCCCCATAGCCAGCAGGCCCCATGGAGTGACGCATCGACTCCACCTAGGAGTTAAAAAGAAAAACAGACAAAAGGTAGAAAGAATACAAGCTTGGGAGGATGAAGGGAGAGACTGAAAAATATCCGTTATCAATTCTGGACACAACACATATTTTGCCATAGATTCACCCTGTTCTTTAACGCAACATAGTACTTCAGAAAGAAAAAAAAGGTGTGTGAGGGAAACAGCCATTTAAACTTCCTCTCCAGTTCCTGCAGCCAAGAAATTTAACGTTAGACTCTTTTTATCTTTTTCACAGAGCTGCCAAGACTCGGCTTTCCTCCCATACATTGGTGAGCCCATTCTCTTGGGAGGATACTCCTTTTCATACTCAGTCTTGGCTAGGGGCATTGTTATATTGTTTTATTTTTTATATTGGCTTTGAACTGTGGCAACTTTTGGCTCGGTTGCCATTTATTTATCTACAATGCTCAAATTATCTACAATTATCAAATTTATATCCTTTGGAATGAGAGGTCCCCAGAGATCCAGATGCCACCCCACCCCCTCTGCTGTTGTCAAAAAATGCCTGACAATGACATTTCACCACATCTTTGACACAGGACAATGGGACTGCTGGCTTCATTCCATCCATGTTGTGCTTGCCAACTGTTATCAATTTTAATTTCTTTGTTTCATCGTTAACCGCCCAGAGCGGTTGGGAATCAGATCGCCTACCAGTATAATAAATTATGATGATTATGCAAGATCCAATCTGGGTCGGTTAGGATTATACAGGATCCAATCTAGGTTGGTTACGATAATTACGAATCATAAAAACCTCACTGACTCACAATAAACAAAGCAAAACAACAGCCCCCAATTAAAATAACACAGAATAAAAATGTGTATTATAAATACTAAAAAAAACCACAGACTGGGAGTGGGGTAGTCTTTATGTGCGTTTAATTGTTTGTTTACTTGATTGTTGGTCTAAAGTCAACCTTGGAGTTAACCTATGCTGATCTGAGTGCTGATTACTGGTGGAGGGGTGCTTGGTTCTCCTTGTTCTTTTTTGGGCTGGTTGATGGTCTCTTTTTGCATAATCTATAGATGTTGTTCATGTCTATGTGTCTATTGATGGCTGATTTGTCAGGCTGCCAAGCTTCTAGAAATTCCCCACCATTTTTGGACTTGGCCTGGCCCAGGATTTGGTACCCTCCGTTTTCATCCCTTATTGTACAATTACATCCAGATTCTTAAGAGTTGTTTTTTTTTTAAAATCCCAGAAAGATAACAGAGTCTGTAAATCAAGCTCCCGGAAACCTCAAGAATATCTGTGTATTTTTTTTAAAGTGATCAGCGACCTCGTTCCTCAAAGATATTTTCCTCCCCTTCCTAGTCTACCCTGTAGCCCTGATCCTTACGACTATCAGGATCATAGTCTTCCCAGAGGGCCAAACATAATCGTGCCAAAGGAACAGTAAGGAGAACATGTCTATGGAGATTCTCAGTCATCCAGGTCATGTCTGTCCCAAAGATGCTTTTTTTTAAAAAGAGCAACTGTTTTTTTCTTCGAAGACGTTTTGCTTCTCATCCAAGAAGCTTCTTCGGCTCTGACTGGATGGTGGGCAATGGAAGGATTTAGTATACTCGTTGCAGACAGCTAGTCATTTGCATCCTAGAGACTCGTTGAGGCCACTTAAGAGGTTTATCTGTGTCGTCAGGGTCACCTGAGTGGTGCAAAGGAGTGTGGGGCCTTCTTGGAACTGCTAAAAGATTGTGTTTGTAGACTGGAGATAAGTGATGTCGTGTCCCTCCCCTTCTGCTGAGACAGGGATGACATCTTTAACCCCTCTTTCAAACCAGCAATCCTCTCTGTCAGTGGCGGGATTCAAATATTTTTACCACCGGTTCGGTGGGCGTGGCTTGGTGGGCACACTTTGCCTGCGTGCATGCACTTTGCGTGTGCGTGCACGCCGAACACGCACTTTGCACAGGCCTACAGAGGCGTTCTAACTCGCCTCCTGCAAGCCTGCACTCTCCCGGTTGTTGCAGCAGCTGCCGCGCGGCGCTATTCTGTGCCACGCAACGCAGCTGCGCTTCAAATTCAGAGGATAAAGGTGAGTATGGGAGGGTGGGCGGGCCCAACCGCAGAGTGGCAGAGAGAACCAGTTCTGTCTCTGCTGCTCATCGCCGCGACCAGCTCTACATATACATTTGTAGATTTTCAAGGGTACAGGTATGCAGGTCTATATATATATATATATATATATATATTTGTTTTCTGAGGTTCTCGCGGGTATTTGTATGTGGATCTTTG